TGGGGGAATTTTTTTTTTTTTTTTTTTTTAAATAAGTATCGGTTCAGACACTGTTTAGGCACTGGAACCGTTTTAAAAGTATTGGTTTGGCACCGGTATCGAAAAAGCCCAAACGATACCCAACCCTAGGGTGAACACATTTCAGCACATTTTAATTTTCGGCTGAACTATCCCTTTAAAGACTACTTTCTCTATCCATATATAGACATATTCTGTATGTATATTTAAACAGATTATAGAATATTTATCTTCCCAGCTCTTTTGCCCTCTTGATAAATTTATGCGATGTGTGGATGGTTTTTAAAGCCCGGCAGGTTTAGATGAGTGTGAAATTAGTGGTTGCTCAGGCAACAGACAACTGCGTTTGAACTGGTTAAGGTGTGTGTGTGTGTGTGTGTGTGTGTGTCGGCTGTCCTTGCAGCAGAATAGCAGCGCTGGCGTGATCTCGCTCTATTCACTCAGCTCTCAATGCTTCCGTGTGCTTTATCAACAGAGGTTTCTCAAGGAGTTTCACCTCCGTTTGTGTGCTTATGCTCAATCTCTTTGTTTGAATATAAAACAATCATCTTTAAGCACAGAGAGGCTCCTCTGGATGCTGATGTTTCAGTGTGTTTCTGAAGTGCAGTATGTTGGTGACACGCGTTTGCATTTAAATCACCACGGCTAAGTTTCAAGTGCTTGTGTAACTTCCTACTGTAGCTGTTGCCTTGGAAACAATGCTTGTGAGTGTTGCTATGGAAACAGGCTTGTGAGTGTTGCCATGGCGACGCTTGTGAGTGTTGGTATGGAAACAGTGCTTGTGAGTGTTGCTGTGGAAACGGCGCTTGTGAGTGTTGCCGTGGCGGCGCTTGTGAGTGTTGCCGTGGCGGCGCTTGTGAGTGTTGCCGTGGCGACGCTTGTGAGTGTTGGTATGGAAACAGCGCTTGTGAGTGTTGCTGTGGAAACGGCGCTTGTGAGTGTTGCCGTGGCAACGCTTGTGAGTGTTGCTGTGGAAACGGGCTTGTGAGTGTTGCCGTGGCGACGCTTGTGTGTGCAGAAAGCAGACAGAACTCGTGTTATATGGTGAATACGCGTGTCTGATGGGTCACATTACTGACCTGCTAAATTAACTAGCAGCCTTTAACTAGTAAATATAATCTGTGTAACTGCAATTTCGAGTGTCGTTTGCTACGTATTGCTTGTATTATTAATACACAAATATTTATTTATATAAGCACACTTCTCATCCAATTATCAATGTAAAAACTGTATTTATTTTCATCCACTTAGTACAGAACTGTTTACTTATTCATTTTCATGAATCACATTTTCTCCTCCAGTTATCAGTACAAACCTTTTTGAGTTAAGCTCACTTTACCTCTGATTATCAAAACAAAAACTATTTATGTACTTCATGTATTTATTTATTTGCGTATTTATTTATTTGTTTGTGTTGATTTATTTATTTTCATTAAGCACATTTTCTCATATGATCAGTACAAAAACTATTTGTTTATGTATTTAAGCACGTTACCCCCTATTATTAATAAAAAACTATGTATTTACATTATATTCGTATGTTACAATTTGTTGCATTGTGACAATTTTATTATTTAGTTAAATATTATTTTATTTTAATATTACTTAAGCTTGCATAGTTTAGCATTTACTTGTATACTGTATTTGTTATACTGATGTTAAAATAAAGTCTAATAAATAAGAAAATAAGTCCTAGTATAATATAAGTGGGTTAGGGTAAAAGCTGCATTAATAAATGTAAACGCAAGAGAGGAATAGTGACTAACAATAGTGACTCTAGTAAGATGCGAATTACAGAAGATCTGTTTTGACTCTTAACGAGCAATTAAGCTCCCTGACTTAATGGTTTTACTGGTTTTGACTGGTTTTCTGTGGCTGTCACGCCTCGCTTTTGTCTCCTGAGCCTTCATTTCAGGACGCTTCTTTTGTAAAAGCGTCTCGCTCTTGATGAGTGACCCACTAACACCGAAGCCTCAGAAAGTAGAACAGTGTAGAAATTAATTGCACATGCGACCTCATTATGTTTTCTTTTTTCAGCCCGAGAGTGAAGTCTCGACGACGGCTGAAGACTGTTCATCTGAGGTAAGCTATTTATTTATTTTGATGAGTGACCCACTAACACCGAAGCCTCAGAAAGTAGAACAGTGTAGAAATTAATTGCACATGCGACCTCATTATGTTTTCTTTTTTCAGCCCGAGAGTGAAGTCTCGACGACGGCTGAAGACTGTTCATCTGAGGTAAGAGCCATAAGACTTTTAAACTATTTATTTATTTATTTTCACTAAGCACATTTTCGTCTCCAATTATCAAGACAAAAACTGTATATATATTTATTTAATTATTTGTATTAAGCAGACTTTCTACTTTATTTATAAATTTTTTATTTATTTATTTAAGCACATTTACTCCTCCAAATATCAAAGCAAAAACCATTTATGTATTTATTTGTTTTATATTCATTAAGCACATTTACTCCTCCAAATATCAGTACAAAAACATTTATTTGAGCACATTTGTCCTCCAGTTATCAATACACAAACTATCTATTTATTTATTTATTTTCACTAAGTACATTTTCTTCTCCATTTATCAATACAAAAACTGTATATATATTTATTTAATTATTTGTATTAAGCAGATTTTCTACTCAAATTATTTAAAAAAAAACGTAATTTATTTATTTATTTTAATTAAGCACATTTCTCCTCTAATATTCCATATAAAAACTGTTTATTTATTTATTTAAGCATATTTCTCCTCCAAATATCAGTACAAAAACATATTATTTATTTATTTGAGCACATTTCTCCTCCAATTATCAATACACAAACTATTTATTTATTTATTTGTTTGTGTTTATTATTAAAAATACGCTTACTGAAAAGTAAATAAATAATGTTTTTGTTTTGAGAATTAAAGGAGAAAATGTACTTATGTAAAATAAATAAATCCTTTTTTTGTTATATTCTATTATATTCTCGTTTTTGCATTGTGCTTTTAGTTTAGTTTAAATAGTTTAATATTTAATTTTTGTGTATAGATAATTGTATTTGTTGTATTGGCTTCCATTAAAAAAAAAAAGAAATAAAATAAAAAAGCATAGAATAAAATAAGTAAAAAAAAATTTAATAATGAAAATGATTAAATAAAAAAAAAAACATCAAAGTAATTTATTACAGAGATGTAAGGCAGGAAAAATGTCTTATAATAGTGAGAATCTTAGTAAGGATCAGCATTGAGAAAAATAAGAATTATGGAAGAGGTAAAAAAATATTCACATTTTTCTGAATTTGGAAGGTAAATATGATTAATAGTCATGGAAATAATGTAAAAAAAAAAATCCTAAAAATGTCTCGGTGCAAAATACATTTTTATGTGTTTGTGAAACTGATGCGCAGGAATCTGTGTATTTTGTGCAAATTGCGTTGTTTGTGCAGATGTTGTCCTAAAAGCACTCTCTGGTGAACTGACAGGTAAATGGTTTCCACGAGAGGACAGAGAGTGATCTTGTGATCGGGGTACAGTAATGTATTTGATAAAGCAGTAATCGCTCCTGCATCGCTCTCAGCGTTTCTTCTGATGCACTAACCTCACATTTCCTTCTGCTTTACCTTCATCTCTGAGGCTCAGCTGCTTGTGAATGTGCTAATGTTAACTGCGCTCACACATGAAGACGGGGCTGCTTGGCAGTTTGTCGGCCGTGTATTATGTTGGTGGAGGGGAGCGTGTAAAAACCGTGTGAACTACACACTACCGGTCAAAAGTTTGGGATCAGAACGATTTTTAATGTTTTTACAGGAGGTTCTTCTGCTCATCAAGGCTGCATTTATTTGATTAAAAATACAGGAAAAAATGTAATATTGTGAAATATTATTATGTAAAATAACATGTTTTTTCTTCTGCTCATCAAGGCTGCATTTATTTGATTAAAAATACAGGAAAAAATTTAATATTGTGAAATATTATTATGATGTAAAATAACATGTTTTTATTTTAATATACATTAAAATAAAAAAATTTTCTGTGATGCGCAGCTGTATTTTCAGCATCATTACTCCAGTCTTCAGGGTCACATGATCTTCAGAAATCATAATAATATGCTAATTTATTATCAGAGCTGGAAACTGTTATTTTTTTGGAAGCTGTGATGCTTTTCTTTCAGGATTCTTTGATGAATACAAAGTTGAAAAGAAGAGCGTTTATTTAAAATAGAAATCTTTTCTAACAATATACACTACCGTTCAAAAGTTTGGGGTCAGTACATTTTTATTCTTTCTTTTTTTGAAAGAAATTAAAACTTTTAAGCAGCAAGGATGTGTTAAATTGTTAAGAAGTGATAGCAAAGATTTATATTGTTAGAAAAGATTTATATTTTGAATAAATACTGTTCTTTTTCACTTTTTATTCATCAAAGAATC